ACCATCAAGTATCACCAATTTCCAAGAATGTGTAAATGTCTCAGGAAAATAGTGCTGAGTGATTGACGCTGTGCTTATGACAGTTAATTTATAGTAAGAGAAAGCAAATTGGAAAGGTAAAGAAGTTTTGTATGCCAAACATTCTGCCTGCATTCTTATAAAAAATAATTGCTTAGCTGGTCACTGAATACCATTAATTAAACTACCTTTGACAGCATTATATTTATACTGGCATTTATTCTTGGTATAATTATAACTGGGTTTAATACAGGCCATTAAAATATCTAGAACTCATCTAAACAGGTATTTGAAAAAAAACTTTTTCTTATAATGGCATTTCTATTTTTTCAAAATATAATACATGTCTATTTAGAACTTTAGATCAAAGTATAAAGTATAAAAATACCAAGGTTAATCGCTACTAGCCTTTTTGTATAGGTCTTCCTGTGGTTTTTCTATATAGTATACGTGTGTGTGTGTGTGTGTGTGTGTGTGTGTGTGTTCATAGAAATCATAAAACTGTATCTTATTTATCATATTACATGTAGGTAATTATATTGAACATCACATTATAGGTATATAGTTATAGCATTAAAACTCTGCAACTTTTATATTCAATGGCTGCATAATATCTTACCAAATTTTATGAAATTATTGTTTGCTTATTTTCTTGTTTTGGGAATTTTATCTATAAGTGTTTTCTTTTGCAAATAATGTAGAAATGAAACTTCTTTATAATTAACTTGTGCTGGCCAGCACGGGTGCTAGTGGCCTGCTTCCTGCAGCTGGGCCCCGCCTTTCAATAGCTCATCCAGCTATGAACCCTGTGGTGGGTCAATCCTCATAATCCACTCATCTCTCTTGGCTCCTCCTCTGACTGTTGCTTCCTAGCGGCTAAGCTCTGAATGCATGAGTGTTTGGTCCTCCCTCATTTTTTTTAAACTGCACCCATTTCTGTTTTCATGTATATTCTTTTTTGTAATAAGTTCCGAGAAGCATCATTATCCTGTCAAACCATATGAATCATTTTTAAGTCTTGATAGTTCTGAACTGTTTCTAGGAAACATTATCACCAGTAATATAAGAAACTGCCTATTTACAGACATTTACTTTGTTTTCATGCTTTTCAGAAGGAACAAAAACATTTTTTAAAAAATGTATTTAGTACGGGGTCTCCAGGGTCTCACTACATAGACCAAACTCATAGTGATCCTCCTGTTTTCAGCCTCCCAAGCACTGGGATTACAGGCGCATGCTACCACACCCAGTCTCAATGGCTGCCTCAGCACGTACTGGGAGCTGGGTCGGCTTGGCACACTGGGGATCGAACCCCAGGCCCTGCCTAACAGGTGCTTTAGTCCGCTGAGCTATCTGGCTGACCCCAAAAACATATTCTTGATTTGCTCCTTTTTGAATGAAAGTTAATGAGAGTTGGCCATCTCCTCACCTTTATTTTGTACAGTAAAATGAGTGTGTGTTGACTAAGCCCAGCTTCATTTTTTTTCTCAGTAGATGCCAGTTAAGGACTGCATCTGGGGTTGATGGATGTGTTTGATCATTGTTGTGTGGTGCTGACCACATGTGACCTTTTGCATTCAGCTAACTGGCCCTTAGAGAAGCTTTTGGTCCAGTGGTGTTCATGCCCTATCTAGTGTTTTGTTTTCACAGAAGAATGATGAAGGCTGAGAGGATTGTTCAAACTCTTATAAAATTTTTTCATTCTGCAACAAACATTTATTCACGATTTTGCTACTTCTAGTCACTGTATTAGATTTATAGTGCTAAAGAAGGTTGATAGCACTCTTGATGTGGCCAAAACCCCAAACCAAACAAAGAGTCCAAGCATAATGCTGTTTAACAGATGCATCAGATACCTTTAGAAATGTTGCTTTTTAAGGCAGCCTTGAAGAGAAGTGGACTTGACTCCCATGCCCACTATTGGGACATCTCAGCAGCTGACTCCCAGTGGTAATGATTAATGATAAATAATAAATAATTGGTGTCATTTACCTACTGCCCATGCTGTCCCTTCAAGATACTATGAGGGCCAGTGAGATAGCTTGGTAGTCTAAGTACCTACCCTGGTAAGCAGAGGGACCAGAGTTCGAAACCCGGTCCTGCATGCTGTGTTGGTCCTGTCCCCAAGGTGTGCTGAGCCAGCAACCAAGTCCGGGCGTGGTGATGCACGCTTGTAATCCAAGTGCTGGAGAGGCTGAAAACAGGAGATCACTACTAGTCTGAGTTGTAGCAAGACCCTGTACCAAATACATAAAATGAAAAAACAAGATGCTATGGTATGTCATTTACATTCATTTGGAAGAGATACATTTTCATTTTGATGGAATGCCTCTGTGGGAACCTACAAATGGCTTGTGTGTTTGAGGAACTAGAAACTGTAAGGAGAAAGAGTTGGCAACCACACATAACTGCCTAAAAGCACCTTTTATGGAACAATCCTGAACTTTGTATAATAGCATATGTCATTCCAAGGAAGAAATGCTTTCTTGTGTCTTGCCGTGAATGCTGAATTGGGTAACTAACAACCTAACAGTGTGGCTTTGTACTAAGATGTGTAAGACTGTGTATGTGTATTTAAAATTCATATTCACTGCTGTGACAAGTTGCTGAATAATGTAGATGGGAAGACAGATTTCAGGTGGAGCTCAGTCCAAGTCACTTTTGATGCAATTCTGACAAAATAATACCATGAATGAATAAATCCAGAGTTCTCTGAGTGTGTGACAGTTTTCCTCCTGATAGTCGCAGGTGACGGTCCTGCGTACAGGCTTCTAACAAGCAGTATTCCAGCCAGCTCACGGTTAATTTGGAGGCAGGTATTTTCCTTTGTGCTTTTGAGGCCAGTAAACTGTGCTGCCTGTTTGCATGCTCATGTTATTTGGAGAAAGAGAATTGTCTCCTCGTGCAGTTTCTTTCCATGAAATTTGTGTGTTTTCTTGATATGATCGCATGGCCTTTGAAGTAAGATAATGATGTAGTGGAATATTTTATGATAGCTCAATAGCTTTACATTCCAAATTTTAGATTTGAGGGGTTTAGTTCGTGAACTGAAATTATTTATGAACATTCACATAGGACTCTTTCATTACTGAGATCCCTGATGGAATTAAAAACTGTGTTCTGTGGGACTGGGGACAGAGCACTGTTCTAGTGCTCCAGAACCTTTTGCTATTGCCTTACTTTTGTTCTTGGCACAGACTTTGTCTAGCTGTATGTGTATCTTCATTTATTTTATTTTATTTCTTTATGTATTTGGTATAGGGTCTTGCTATGTAGCTTAGACTCCTAGTGATCTCCTGTTTTCAGCCTCCCCAGCAGTGGGATTACAGACGTGCACCACCATGCTCAGTCTCGGTGGCCAGCTCAGCAAGCCTGGATGTAGGGCTGGTGGAACATGTGGTACTGGGGATGGAACCCCGGGTTCCCTGTGCTTGGCAAAGCAGGCACTTAGTCTGCTGAGCTATCTTGCAGGCGCCTATATGTGCATCTTTATCACCTTGTCTCAGTAGTGAATAGCCCATTGCTGAGATGACTTTTGGCTAGGAAATTTAGTGAAGTTATTGGACACCAGGCCCTCCCTTGTGCCTCGCCCCTGTTTTCTCCCTTCCTCCTTCTCTTCCTTCCTTTCTCTTTCTCCATCCCTCCCTTCCCAATCTTCTTCCACTTCTTCAATTTCTTCATTGTAATCTGGGTTAGTTTTCTGTCTTCTGGCAGCTCTATGTCCCTTCTCCAATAAATTCAGTCCTATTCCTGTTTTATTGTGGGTATAGTAGAACTATGCCTGTTTACAAGACAAAAATGTATTGGATGGATGCTACAAAGGTATCAGGTTTAAATGGCATGATTAGGTGTAGGGATGGGGAAGATTAGCATATATAAAAATAGTTTGAGCTGTCCATTAGTATAGTTTATCACCTTGTATAACATTTCCGTAAGTGTTCAATTTATTTTTAAATATTATTAAATAAAGGTCATCACCACCTAAAGTGGTATCTTTTATTTAAAACATTGAAAAAGCATTTTTAATGAAGCCAGAAGTCATGTGCTATCTGAAGTAAGCTGACGTTTGTAGGACAGAAGGCAGAGTCGGGGAAACTTGGCTGCTGAGCACACTTGTCCTTCTGTCCTCAGAGGCTTGCACGTGATCCTAGGCTTCATCTAATTTATGAGATCCTCGTAAGGTCTATGTGGACCTGAGGCTTCTTCCAGAGTTCTCTGGCCCTAGGACCTCTAATGCTCAGTGTACTCTCTCTGCACATAAGCAATAGCACAATGAAACCCATTAATTTATATAATTAATGATTGTTAATGCAAAGTGCTATTTTTTGTTGAAGAAAGTAGTAAAAATAAGTAATTTCCTTAAAGCTTTATCCTACATGAGGAGTTTAGAACATGGCAGCATTGTGGACGAAAATTCTAAAAGCTAGGAATCTAACTGATGAGAGAAATAAAGCTAGAAATTAGGAATGTAAAGGTGACTTTGAAGATACTTTTGATTTTGTGCACTCAACATTAAGCCTCCCAGTCTGTTTTCTGCCACTGTAACAGAACAGCACAGGCCGGGTAATTTGTAAAGAAAGGAAGTTCGTTTCTCACCTTGCTAATTCTGGGTGGGCTAAGATTAGGTGCTGGCATCTGGCAAAAGCCTTCCTCCTGTACCACCTATGGTGGGTGGAGGATCTTTATATTAGGAGACCACACCTACCACACTAATCCACTCTTGTGATGAGGGGCTTAGGCCCCACTTGGGGTGGTCCCTCAGGAGCTAATCACTGCTTGGAATTCCTTAGGCGTTTTGGAGGGATAGTTAAGCCCTAGCAGCCTCTGTTAGCAGATTTTCTTAACTGATCTTCCCGCTGTGTGGAGGGGTTGCTAGGGACACAGCCATGTTGGTAGGAAAGGTGGAGCTGGTGAGAAACCAGAGGCCTTACGTGCTATCCCAGAGTGCAGCCTCACATGTTTTCCATGTGTGCTCTTTCCAGAACCCGTGAGCAGAGGTTTCTACAATGGTTTGTTCAGTGCTCCGGAGAGTTGCCCGTGCCCACGTCTGCCTGGTGAGGAGGGCCAGTCATGTCTGCAGAGGCCACCAGCAGCGGGCGTGGGGCTCGAGACCAGCTGCGCCAGACTTTGCTGCTCCTGGAGCTCCGGGCAGTGTTCTACAGCTGCTGGGCAAATCCTACCTCCAGGACGACCACACCAACCTCACCCAGAAAGTCCTGTCCAAGGTCGGCAGGAATCTGCACAACCAGCAGCACCATCCTCTATGGCTAATCAAGGAGAGGGTGAAGGAGCACTTCTACAAGCAGTATGTGGGCCGATTTGGGACGCCGCTGTTCTCCGTCTATGAAGACCTTTCTCCTGTGGTCACAACCTGGCAGAACTTTGATAGCCTGCTCATCCCAGCTGACCATCCCAGCAGGAAGAAGGGGGACAACTATTACCTGAACCGGACTCACATGCTGCGAGCGCACACGTCGGCGCATCAGTGGGACTTGCTGCGTGCGGGGCTGGATGCCTTCCTGGTGGTGGGTGACGTCTACCGGCGCGACCAGATTGACTGCCAGCACTACCCAGTTTTCCACCAGCTTGAAGGTGTCCGGCTCTTCTCTAAGCACGAGGTGAGTCTTGCACGTTTCTTATCATTGCACCACATCATCTACATTGTGTTTTCATTTCAGCGAAGCCGGTAGAGTTGTCCTTGGTCTGATTTTGCTTTAATGAGTCATCTATCTTTAATGATGGCTTTGTACATACGTTCTCCTCAATATATTTGGCTGATTGTGTTAGTAACTACACAGATTGGTAGTTCTTTTTTTTTTGCTTACCACTTCTCCTTTCTTTCAATACTGACTAACCTTTCTCTGAATTGCTTGTGAGTGGTTACTCCATGGATCAAATTCACCCTTCATCTGAGATGAGGAAAAGTGCCACCCAGAAATGTGTGCATACATTCCAGATCTCAGTTAGTGGAAGTTGATTCTGTTTCCATTTTGTTAGAGATCAGTGGACCTGTTCTGTCCCTTAGAGGATTAGAGCTGTGTGGCCTCAGACTGTAAGCAGTGTTCTTCCCCCTAGTTTGCTCTCTGTTCTTTCCTACTGTGTATGATGATGTGGAATGCCTTCATGCTGTAGTTCTCAAAATGTGTGTGTGGCTGGGCTTAACCTGGCAAGAGTTTAAGCACCCAGAGTGCTGGGGTTATAGGTGTATAGCACCACACCTGCAGAGTTTGTATTTGGCTGCCCGAAGTCCTCTTGATCAGGAAGTTCTGGCCAGTATTTAAAATACCTAACCCTTGCGTTTGTTAAATGTTATTTGAATGCATTTCATCCTTTTTTTTTGCAAACTATGAAAATACTTAAAGAACTTGAGTCCATTTTCTACAAAATTTGTAACACCACTTGCTCCTCATTAATGTATTGTCTTGTAAAATTTATCTCCATTTTTACCGCAAAAAAATAGAATTAAAGTACTCTCAGGAAGTATTTCACTTGTTCCTGTAGCAATCCTCCTTCCAAACTTTGTTCATTGGGACAGGAGGAAAATTGGGCTACAAAACTTGTGTAAGCGTGACATAAATTGGCTGATAATATGAAAACGAATAGTATAGGATCCTTAGGCTGATAAATAACCCTTGTTATGTTCTATTAAATAAGTACTTAGTAGGGACAACTGAAAGAAACTGCCCTCTGCTCCCCTTTTCCTTCTGTTTATCTCAGAATGTTTTATTATCTTGTAAATCTATGATAATGGAAGCATAGGTTAGTCTTCTACAAAAAGGTTACTCCAAGCTGCATCCCAGGGGAGATTAGATGTACATTCCTACTGATTGAAATAGCTGGCTGCTTTCTGAGTTCAGCATAATAACTGTTGATAAGGACGTGGATATATTAGGAAGCAAAGGGAATGAACCCACAGGTTGGAATCTGGGAAGTGCAAAGTGTTGGAGCGCCACTTACGCGTAGTCTCTAAGCAGAGCTGTGATGCCAGCAAGATGACGTTCGCGACAGGGCGCCGGCAGGTGTTCAGTCCAGCTTCCCTCATTAAAGAAACAGGGAGTGAAATCGCACACTGATGTGTACCCCACATGCTGTGAAGGAGGTGGTGAAGGGCGTGAGCTCTGTAGCACTGAAACGGAGTAAAAGCCGGGCTACCACAGAAGGTGGAAAATACCCAGCGCACGGAGAATTCGACTTTGCCTTGGCTCATATTTGTTTTGGGTTCAGTGCAATTTAGCATGTAGCACACATGGCTAATCTAGTCCTACGTTGTTTTATAGTTAAAATGTATGTATGCATACACACGTATATACATAGGATCTCCTTATAGGTTGATAAGATGGCTCCACATATATTGTTTCATTTATTTCTCTTAGCAAACACCTTGTGAGATAGATTATTTCCACTTGAACTGAAGGTCTGGGAAGGTTCAGTGACTGGCCTAAGGTCTCCTAACCAATCCATGGCAGCGTGCAAACCAGAACCCAGGTCTTCGGAGTTTGTTGTCAAATGTATTGTATTCTGCACATTTCCACAACCTTGCTTTGTAAGTGGCATCTGCTGCTGACCCAAGGGGAGCTTTTACTTCAAGAATGGTAAGTGGGAAGGAGAAGAAAGATGATGCATTCTGAATTCCTACTCTCAGCTGAAGTGTTTAAATCTTAACCTACAGGGCAACAGTTTTTCCTTTTGTGTGTATGTGTGTGTGTATGGGGCGGTGCTGGGAACTGTACTTCTGGCCTTTACACTGAACCACATCCCAAGACCTTATTCTTATTTTAAGGCAGGGTCCTATTAAGTTTCTAAGCTGCCTAGGTTGGCTTCAAACTTGCAGTCCTTCTCTCTCAGCCACCCAGAGTGTGGAATTAAAGGGATGAGCCCTAATTTCTGGCTCTAGGATTTTTTTTTTTCTACAGTTTTATTGATAAACAGATAGCAATGAGACAGTTTCAAATCAAATCAGAAGTACAGTTTTAGGCTTTTTAGATAAGTTTAATCATGCTATTAATATGTAATTTAAAAAATTATACCTTTTTAAAGTTTTCCTGTTATACTTTGTGATCATTATTTTAATCATATAGCAATTCTATTAAGAAGAAATATATTTATAGAATGACAGGATAGAAGAAATAATGATAAGTATTGAAATAGATGTAGTATGACAATATATTCATTCTACTGTTAATTGTAGGAAAAAACATTTTGTCTTTGATGAAATATAAAATGAAAACCATAAACAGCTGACTAACTTGAAGAAGCAGTCAGTAGGTGAAGTCTGCTAGGGATCTAATTTTTAGGGAAGGGATAGAAATGCTGAATAAACTAGAATTTGTTGGAAAAAGTTAGATTATAGCACCATATGTACCTTCCACACAGATAGATTTGAACGGAGAAATGCAGAATTGATGTCAGTTTGACAGAAATCAAGATAAAGGGAAGAAAATTCTGTGAATAGAAAGCCCAAGTTAGGACTGTAGACATAAGTGATAGTTTATATCAGTATTTCTAGGTTGAGTGGGTTAAGTTTAATAATGAAACAAACTCATTATCAGACTGAATGTTTCCAGAAATCTGGAGCTAAAATAAGCCAGAGATTGAAAATAAAGGTCAGGAGGGAGTATATCCAGCAAACAGGGAAAGACAGGCTGGTGTGCTGATATTAATAGTAGAAAGCATAGCATTTATGGAAAAGATGGTAACTAGGAACAAGGACAATAAAATGTAAAATGTTAAAGAAGTTCCATGAATTGTTAGCTTTTTTTGCTTATTTTTATTCATTTTAATGAGAAAAAAAGATGAAATGACAATGAAACAGTTTCAAAAAAGGTTAGTAGGACAGTTACAATAATTAATACATTGCATATTGTTGTCTTCATGGTAGTTATTCAGAGGACAAGACTCAGACATGATATCTTGTCT